TAGTAGTAGTAGTAGTAGAAGAAGTAGTAGTAGTAGTAGTATTAGAAGTAGTAGTAGTAGTAGTAGTAGTAGTAGTAGTAGTAGTAGTAGTAGTAGTAGTAGTAGTAGTAGTAGTAGTAGTAGTAGTAGTAGTAGTAGTAGTAGTAGTAGTAGTAGCAGTAGTAGTGGTGGTAGTGGTAGTAGTAGTAGTAGTAGTAGTAGTAGTAGTAGTAGTAGTAGTAGTAGTAGTAGTAGTAGTAGTAGTAGTACTCGCTGGAGCGCTGACCACTGTGGGCGGAGCGCCTGCCCGGACCGGCCATGGCTGGCGGCGGGTCCGTGGCCCGGCGCTCGGCAGGAGCGGGGGTCGCCGCGGGCAGAGGTGGCCCTTCGGGCGCCTCAACCGCTGGCAGCTCGTCTCCGCCTGCGTCTGAGCAGCTGGCCTCGCCCTGGGTGCCAGGCTGGTCCTGCTGCTCCTCGTCTTCTTCGTCGCCCGGCCCCGCACGCACATGGCGTCCCTCTTCGGGCCCTGTCATGGTAGCGGACGCGTGGACCGTGGCGTACCAGTTGACACCGAACGAGAAGTCGAACCACGTTGCCAACGCACCCATGGCCAAGGCGAGAGTGCATTCTAGCCCGTGGACGGGCCCCATGTCTTCTGGGACCTGCTCGCAGGTCCCCCCCTCCTTCGTCCTCGCTCGCTGCTTCTCCTGGCGCCTCCCTCGCCGCACGGCCGCTCGCCGCCGCGGCGCCCCTTGCCGCGAAGGCGCCGCGTGGCAGCGCAGAGTTGAGCCCGCTGGGGCCCAGGCTGCCCTCCTGCGCCTCGCGAGAGTGACGCGGGAGGCTCGGGAAGAGCCCGAGCCAGGCGGCCGAGAGGCGAACGAGCTCGTGCGATGGTCCCGCCCGCCCACCTCCAAAAAAGGATGCAGAGGCCGCGAGCGGCCCTGAGCCAAAGGCGAGGAGAGGGAGGCAACGAGTTGCGAGGAAACCCAATGTTCTGGCGAACGTCCACATCCGACTGGAGACCCGCACAGGCAACGCTGGAATCCAGCGCGTGACAAGAGCACTGCGGGAAAGGCGGCGCCCCACACAGGACATGATCAGGGGGAGAGGAGAGGAGCACTCACGTTTTAGCAGAGCTGGAGGGGGGAGGAGGAAGGAGGGCGAGGAGGGGCACGAAGGCTCGCGAGGCCGCAGACGGTGTCGTCGTCGGTCGTCGTCGGTCGTCGTCGTCGTCAGCGCTCGTCGGTCGGTCGGTGGGTCGGGCCATCGTCGTCCTCGTCGTCGTCGTCCGCCATAGCCCATCCGTCGTCATCGCCCGTCGTTCATCGGTCGTCGTCGTCCGTCGTCGCTATTCGCCGTCGTCGTCGTTTGTCGGCGTCGGCGTCGTTTTCGTCGTCCTCATCGCCAGCAGGGCAAACGGAGGAAAGAGGAGGAGGAGGAGGAGAACGCAATACGAAAGGGGAGGACGGAGGCAAGACGAGGGAGGGAAGGATGAGGTCGGCGGAGAAGAGAATCACGAATCACGAAGAGGAGGTGAGGAGCGAGGGAGGAAGAGGACGACGAGGAGGAGGAGGAGGAGGACAAGGGAGGATCGAGGACCTACGGGTTGCCGGACGTTTCCCCCTTGAGAAGGGCCTCCTGGGACAGCGACCCGGCTGGGTCCGCCTCGAGATTCTGGCTGCAACGTACTCCGCCGGTGAGGGGGATGGCCCATTGGATTTTCATATTTAGATTATTTAGGTCATTCTCCTCCCCCTCCTCCATTTTCATTTTCTCCTCCTCCTCCTCCTCCTCCTCCTCTCCTCCTCCTCCTCCTCCTCCTCCTCCTCCTCCTCCTTCCTCCATGTATGTGTGTATGTTTAACACGCGCAGCCGCTGCCACTACAGCACGCTTCTCTAATGAGCAAATTGGCTGCTCGCTGTCTCACCCTGCTCGCGCGCCGTCCGGACGCAAGGCTTCTGAACTGGTGATGTCAGAGGCCCGGGCGGCCCTCTGCGCACCGAGGTCCGCATGCCGAGGGGCTTCTGTGGACGGAGGCACGTCACGCAGCAGCACGGCAGGGGAGCTTTGGTTGTTCGCGCGTCGCGCCGCCGGCTCTATCCCACCACGCTTCGGCACCTCACTCCAGTCACGTCCCTTATCCGCCTCCTCCTCTTCCTCCTCCTCCTCCTCCTCCTCCTCCTTTTCCTCCCCCTCGCACACCGCCGATGAACAACAGGTGGCCTGGGCGACGACGGCGAGCGCCGCGGCAATCAGAGCACCTGCTTCTCTTAGCAGCGGCCCCGTCCCCGAGCGTCAACGTCCCGAGTTCTTCCAAGCCTCCCAGCCCGCGGAGCGGAGCGACACGCTACCCGTTCGTAGGGCGTGTCGCCAGGGCCGCCGCCGCGACACGCTGAGCAAAAGTTCCCGACCGTAAGATTCGTCTTCCGGAGCATCGACAAGAGAAGGAGGAGGAGCAGCAGGAATAAGAGAAGGAAGCAGGGCTGCCTTTTGGAGCACGTCCAAGAGGCAGCAATCGGGGGGGGAATGTGAAGGCGCGCGGCCAGCTGACGCACCTCCGAGCGCTACAGGACCGGCTGCCAGTGGGAGTGCCGGGCGGTTTGTTTGTCGGTCGCCCTCCTTATCCTCATCGATGTTGTTGTCTTAGTCTACCTTCATTGTCGGTCGTGGTCTCCCGTTCTTACGTGGAGACAACGTGGAAATTTAAGATGATTTGCATATTGTCGCTGCATCGTTGCGGGGGCCAGCTTGAAATCGGATGTTGTACCACTTGCTCGACGTCTGACTTAATTCCGGCCTGATTGTTATTTCAATTTGTTTTTCGACTTCAATTTGAATTCGAGTTTGAGGTTCGCCAGGATGTCGACCTTTGATTTGGATTCAAAATTCTGAGGGATTTGATTCCAGCCTCTGACAGTGATCCGTCCCGCAAGCGTTTCAGAGCAAATTCGTCGCCGACGCGAGACTAGTCGGCGAGGTCGTGCCCTCTGCTCGGTAATGGGCTCGACAATGTCTCGTTATTTCTTTGTTTCGTTCTTTCTTTCTTTCTTTCTCTCTCTCTCTCTTTCTCTACCTCTCTCTCTCTCGCTCTCCCCCTCTCTGTCTATCTCTCGCTCTCTCCCTCTTACTCTGCATGTCTATCGCACCCATTCGCTCCATGCTTATAGTATATACCATTGTTCTCCATACATCTCTCTCCGCCTCTCTCTTCAGTCTCTCTCTCTCTCTCTCTCTCTCTCTCTTCCCCCCCTTTCCATTTATCTGTCTGAAGGCAGTGCATGTGTCTTGACACTGCGGGCAGGTCGGATCCATGTAGGGTTCGGCACCGCCTCCTCGCTCGAGAGCATGTCGCGGCACCATCCCCGTGGTACGGTGGAAGGCCTTTGGCTTGGTGCCCGCTTTGGTTAGATAGCATCCGTGTGCAACATAAGATCGATGTATTGTTCTATGCGAACGGCGTCCGTGCTGGATCCTGGAGCGCCCCGACGCGCCAGACGCATCCACCACGTTTCCTGGGATAGGCTTTGCCCTCCGAAGCGCGAGCTCGCATCTCGGGGGCTCCCAAACGACTTGGGACCACACCGCGCGGTGAGTCCGGGGGATTCAGGTCATTGGGGATTCAGGTCGTCCTCCGACGACGTCTGGGACAATTGGGGCCTCCAGGGCGCCAATAGCATGCGGCGACTGACCGCGCGGTGAGGTCGTTGGGCATTCTGAGGTCAATACGCGGTCCGTCACCACACGGCTTTGGGGCCCCGAGCGGACCTTCCCGCGAGGAAGACACCCGAGGGCGCCAGGCGCCGCCGTTGGCTCTCGGCAGGGCGGGCCAGATTTGGAGCGGGGCGCGCGTCGATCTCTTGATCCACGTCGACATCAGATGTAAGTCGGTCGCGTCCTCCTACAGGAGCGATGTTCAAGAATAGCAAAAAACATTGGAGACGATGTTTCGACGATTTCTTTCCATTCTTGAATTTGTTCCGACTGTCTTTGATTTTTCGTCCAACATCCGCCTGTAGGAGGACATGTCCGACCTAACCCTGGATGTTCGTTTTCGAGCGCGCGTTGGTCGGTCGGGTCATAGTGATGACCCGTTGGTCGGCCGGGTCAAGAGGTGGACGCGCGCGGACCCTCGCGCTTCGGGCGTTTCGCAAGAGATCATATGTATCATCTGTCGGCGATCGCCCTGGCTTGGCTATGCTGTGTAGTGGGAGGGGGGAGGTGCAGGCCGATAAGCTAACCTTCTGGGTCTGGGCAGCACCGCACATCCGAGTTAAATCCAGAGTTGGACAGGATTTTACACATGTTGATCCAGAATTAGGATTCCGAATCACAGCGAAATTCAATTCAACATTGCCAGATGAATTAGTTGGACAGGATGCACATCTTCAACTTGAAAGTAGAACGGATTCATGTTGAAATCAAGAGTGAGAAAGGATCCCGAATCCCAGAGATCCAGATTCGGAATCCTTTCAAACTCTGCATTCGGAATCCTCTCTAACTTTGTTTTCACTGTTCACGATCTGCTATAACTCTGAAATCCAATCCGTAATTTCCTGTCCAACTTAATCACCAGACACCTCGCCCCTTGGCCCCCCGCCAGCCCCACGCAAAGGGGCGAGCATATATACGGGCGCAGCACCGCGCTGGATGCGTAGCCGTCGGCTGGGCCAACCAAGCGAATGACGCGTCGCGTGGCGGCTGGATGCCCGCGCCGAGCACAGATATTCTCGGTTCCTCCCTCCTCCTTCTCCTCCTCCTCCGCAGGCTTAAATCTGCCATCGAAATATCCTCACCCGCTGGCTTAAAACTACCACCGACATATCCTCACCCGCGGGCTTAAAACTGCCACCGAAATATCCTCACCCGCTGGATCAAAGCAGCCACAGGAATATCCTCACCCGCTGGCTTAAAACTGCAACCGACATATCCTCACCCCCGGAAGTGAAACTGCCACCGAAATATCCTCACCCGCTGGCTTAAAACTGCCATCGAAATATCCTCAACCGCCGGCATAAAACTGCCACCGAAATATCCTCACCTGCTGGCTTTAAACTGCCACCGAAATATCCTCACCCGCTGGCTTAAAACTGAGACCGAAATTTCCTCACCTGCTGGCTTAAAACTGCCACCGAAATATCCTCACCCGCGGAAATAAAACTGCCACCGAAATATCCTCACCCGCTTTCTTAAAGCCGCCACCGAAATATCTTCACCCGCTGGGTTAAACTGCCAGTGAAATGTCCTCACCCCCGGAAGTGAAACTGCCACCGAAATATCCTCACCCGCTGAAATAAAACCGCCACCGAAATATCCGCACCTGCTGGCTTAAAACTGCCACCGCTCGATAACACTCGATAACACATCGATAACACATCATTCTATCGAGGTGTCATCGAGTGTTATCGAGGTGCTCTCGAGCGTTATCGAGCTCTATCACACTCGATAGCACCTCGATAACATCTCGAACACATCTCGAAAACATGTTATCGACGTGTTATCGGGTGTTATCGAGGTGTTATCGAGCGGGTGATGGTCACCCGCTGGCTTAAAACTGCCACCGCAATATCCTCACCCGCTGGCTTAAAACTGTCACCGAAATATCCTCACCCACTGGCTTAAAACTGCCACCGAAATATCCTCACCCGCTGGCATAAAACTGCCACCGAAATATCCTCACCCGCTGGCTTAAAACTGCCACCGAAATATCCTCACCCGCTGGCTTAAAACTGCCTCGGAATATCCTCACCCGCGGAAATAAAACTGCCACCGAAATATCCTCACCTGCTGGCTTAAAACTGCCACCGAAATTTCCTCACCCGCTGGCTAAAACTGCCACCGAAATATCCTCACCCGCGGAATAAAACTGCCACCGAAATATCCTCACCCGCTGGCTTAAAACTGCCACCGAAATATCCTCACCCGCGGAAATAAAACTGCCACCGAAATATCGTCACCCGCTGGCTTGAGACTGCCACCGAAATATCCTCACCCGCTGGCTTAAAACTGCCGCCGAAATATCCTCACCCGCTGGCTTAGAACTGCCACCGAAATATCCTCACCCGCGGGAATAAAACTGCGACCAAAATATGCTCATCTGCCGGCTTAAAACTGCCGCCAAAATACCCTCACCCGCGGAAATTCATCCGCCACCGAAATTTCATCAACCCGCTGGCTTAAAACTGCCACCGAAATATCCTCACCGGCTGGTCTAAACTGCCTCCGGAATATCCTCACCCGCGGAAATAAATTGCCACCGAAATATCCTTACCCGCTGAAGCACCGAAATATCCTCAACTGCTGGCTCAAAACTGCCACCGAAATATCCTCACCCGCTGGCTTAAAACTGCCACCGAAATATCCTCACCCGCTGGCTTAAAACTGCCACCGACATATCCTCATACGCGGGCTTAGAACTGCCACCGAAATACCCTCACCCGCTGGCTTAAAACTGCTACCGACATATCCTCACCCGCGGAAATAAAACTGCCATCTAACGGCCTGGTGGTTCAGTTCAGTCTGTCTACCCCGCGAAGATCAAATTACGGGCTGCGCCCATAAATCATTTAGCAAGTCTGATTTGAACGACTCTATGATTCGCAATCCTTTTTAACTCGGGTTTCTCATGCGTGCAATACTTGATCGCTCTATGTTCCAACATGTAAAATTCTCTCCAGCTCAATATCCTAGCAACTCTGAGTTAAGGGTGTATGTGATTCGGACTCCTTTTCTAGCTCTGGGTTCTATCGTGCGACATCCTTTTTTAACTCTTGATCAAACTCCAGACACATCAAATCCCTCTCCAAATCAAACTTATGGCAAGTCTGATTTGAACTTCTCTGCGACTCGGAAACCTTTTAGCCCCAGACTTCAATATGCAAATTCCTCCATAGTTCAAGATTCTGGCAATTCTGGTTTGAATTATGTTCCAAATCCGAGTTCATATCTGCAATATTCGTTTTAATTCTGGACTCCAGTACGGGAATTCTTGTCTTATTCGAGCATCTGGCCACTCTTATCCGCATGTCTTGGTGATTCGGAATCCTTTTGACTTTGATAAATAACACAGTTTGAACACAACTCTGCTGAAACACCTTGTGAGATTCAGAACAAATTTTACCTCAGTCGACCGCCGTGTGCCTGGCAAGTCGCGACTACAACAGGCTCGCCAGGTACAATTATGCACTGTAGCGCTTGCAGCACAGCTGCAGCATTACATGCCCTGCGAATTGTCACCGTCGCGAAAAAGTGTACGGTACTGCGTACCCCCTTTCGGACCTCGGCTACCGAGAAGGTCGGGTTATCCCGGGGAGGGGAGGGGAGCGGGCGGGCCCGATAAGGCGATTTTCAGACCCCAAAAATCAATCTCCAAGGGGGGGAGGGGCGGTGAATGGAGGAGAGGGGAAACCGAGGGCCAAGGGCCTCTGGGCAGAGCCCAGAGTTATCAGGGCGTCGGGCCTCCCGTTTTCGCTCTCTGGAGTTGCCCCAGATTGCACTCCACTCAAGTCTTTCCGGATCACAGTCGGCCCACTGCAGTATATTGTGCTTTCCCTATAAAACAAGAGCTTTTCCAGATCCAGCGATTCCAGGGACCCGTCCCGTTTTCGCGCCAAAGTTCTCCGGATTGCACTCAGCCCGAGTTTTCCCGGATCACAGTTTGCCCCATGCATTACTTTGTGCTCTCCCTCGAAACAGGAGCTCTTCCACATCCAGGCGAGTCCAGGGTCCTTTTCAGATTTCATGTGGGGTACCAGACAGGGCCTTGCGCCGACCAGACCTATTCCGGATCATGCAGGTGCCCACTCTTAGGGCCCCGGAGATGAACGAAGGGCGCACCTTTTTCTCGGTAGCTAATTGGATTGGAGCCTGGTTAACTCTCTCCATGTTGTCTTTCTGCTTTTAGCGTCGATTAGCGTCGATTCACATCTGGGAGTGGATGAAACAGCGCCGATTTAGCGTCGGCTAGCGTCGATGAGCGTCGGTTTAGCGTCGATTAGCGTCGATTTAGCGTCGGTGTACGTCGATTCGCAAGAGGCGACAAGATGGTATGGGAGGCTCTCATGAGTTGCCACCGACCTTTCTTCACCCCCCGCTCATTGCCCCCCCAAGTGCAGCAACGCCCGAGCGTTCCGCGCGCGTGCCCCTCCGAACGCTGCCGGGCATCGAGCACCTGCCCCCGCGCGGCCAGGGCCTATTCGCCTCCCGCTGGCGGGGCCTTGGGCGGCGGACCCACCCCCCCCGCAGGACCAGGAGAGCCACCGCGGCGAGAGGCTGCAGCAGTCCGTCGGGAGGGGCAACGGGAGGGCGGGCCGCGAGGGGCCCTCGCGGAGGGCGCCGCAGGTCGGAGGAGGGGATGGCTTCTGCATCGTGCTGTCGGCGCCACACCACCAGTTTTGTACGAGATGTGCGTGGCCCCCACAGGGGCGACGCGCGCACCAAGAAATCTTGTAGTATATATATATATATATATATATATATATATATATGTCGTGGCGGGCGCTTTCTAGCCACACCGCTCGGGAAACGATGTACTACAAGATGGGTATACCACATGTTCGGGTCGGACCTGCGCCTCCAAGGGGGACATACAGTATTAGTATGTCGTATGTCTCTATGCGTCCCATGCTGCCGTCCTGGTCTGTCTCCCCCAGGTGTCTCTCGTCGCCATGGCCAGGTCCGCCCCGAAATCCGCCCCGCCAGTCGTGAGGGAGGCGGGAGGCGAGAGGGGGCGGTCATGCCGCCGTCCTGATCTGCCTCCCGGGTTGTCCCTCTTCGCCATGGCCAGGTCCGCCACGAAGTCCGCCCCGCCGGTCCAGAGGGAGGCGAGGGGGCGGGCCAGGCGCAGCAGGACCCCCTTTATCCTCAACCTCCGCCGCTTGCTGCTGCTGATTCTGCTGCCTATCTTCTCTCCTCCCTCCTCAGCCTCTCTCTCCTCCTCATCCTCCTTCTCCTCCTCCTCCTCGTCCTCCTCCTCCTCCTCCTCCTTGTTCCTCCTCCGCGACGGCACCACGGGAGCACAAAAGATGGGCCCCACCCCCTCGGCAGCGGGGGGGGGCCCCGCTGGCCTCGGGATGAGGGGAAGTAGGATTGGCTTGGATCGGATCGGATTGCGCTGGTCTTCAGGGTTAGGTCGGGCATGTCCCCCTGCAGGAGGAATATTCAAAAGTAGTCAAGACATAGTCTCGGGACGATGTGTTGCGTATTTTCGAACATTTGAGGGGCATGTTTGGGCGAGGCGCATAAGGAGCAGGAGGAGGAGGGGGGAAAGGATGGATGATGGAGGATCCCGCGATTCCCAGACACCGCTTGTCGGATCCTACCTGTTCTCTCAAGTGATGGAACGGTGTTCGGTGTCCGCCAGGAGCCCGCCCGTGGGGGCATCCTGGGCGCCTTGTGCTACTTCGCCCCCTGCCCACTCGAAGGGCGTCTCGTGAGCGCCTCGTGCGCTGGCACCTATGCACCACACAGCCTGCACCTCATAGTTGGCATGGCATCGCTTGCACCTGACACCTCATCGTTTGCGCCATGCTCCACCACGTAGCGGGCATCACACAGCTTACACCACATAGCTTGCGCCGCACAGTTTACACCACGTAGCTTTCACCACATAGCTCAGATCTCCTAGCTTGCATATAGATCGCACTGCACAGCTTGTACCACATAGCTTGCACCACATAGCTTGCGCATCCAGAGAGCAAGAACTCACTGTGTCGGGTCCACGCTCGCGAGCATGGACTGCTTCAGTCCTTGGCAGGCTTTGCAGGCCTCTGGGTGCAACTCGGGGCGGATTGGCGATGGGAGGAGACGGGAGTAGGCCAAGGGGGTTTCGAGTCGTTGCGCGAGAAGTCTGTGATGTTGCAGCGTTTGTTGCGGGGCGCCGCTGGATGTGCAATCATGGACGCTGTAACAGTGTATTGCCTAATGAGTGGCGGAAGCCGTGGGTTGAATTTGGGTAGGATTGCGGAGGGCCAGAGATTGTCCCCCCACCGGTTCACACCGATCCATCGCTGAAGACACACGCGG